CACACTGGTCCAGCAAAGCAGGTGTTAGCTTCACTTACAATTGCTCAGACCTCTCAATCCATCCAAAGCTTCACTGGCCCAATGTGGGCTTCAGTCCTCTTCCCTGTCCACCCCAACTCGTGGTCAGTCACTTCAATTTCAGTCTCACTGACCTCCGTCATTCCTTTAGCATCCCTGACCTGGAATTCCTGACCCAAATCATTCCCAGTGCCTCTCATATTTTCAGCTATTAAATGAGGGGTATTCCTAACATGTAGAATTGTTATGAGGAACAAATAAATTAAGATGTAAACGCATACTCTATGAACTCTAAATCACTACAAGCATCAACTGTTATGACTATGACTGCTACTGAGTTAAGAACTGGTGGCCTCTTGGTCACTTCATATTACACTCCCTCAGTAACACTCCCTGATGGATGCGTTCTAGTTCCAGCGTGGCCACTTGCTATAGGTCATCTTGGGCAATAACAGCCACATTCCAAAGCAAGCTTATCATTTTTAAACACACAGGGTTGGGCTACAATATTTCTAAGATCCCTTGCAGCTCTTTGGTTCTGAGACCCCACTTTATTGAGAAAATGGAAAGCACCAAATACTTTGATCTTCTGCTTTTCAAAATGTCTCTGCATCCACCCTCCATGCATTCCTTCCTTTCCTTGGATACCCCAGTCACTTATACTCTCCACATCTTGTCTGCTTTCTTTTTTCTGGGGCTTGCCCATCCTTGTCAGCATCTTCTCCCCCTCTTGACTTCTTTCATATAAATACCTATCTTCCCTCCCATGAAAAAGGAAATTTTCACTTGATCCTCCAGTCCTTTTTTTAAATTTATTTAATTAGTTTATATTTTTAAAAAATATATTTTATTGATTTTTTTTTTTTTTTTTTTTTTTTTTTTTTACAGAGAGTAAGGGAGAGGGATAGAGAGTTAGAAACGTCAATCAGCTGCCTCCTACACATCCCCTACTGGGGATGTGCACGCAACCAAGGTACATGCCCTTGACCAGAATCGAACCTGGGACCCCTAGTCTGCAGGCCGACGTTTATCCACTGAGCCAAACCAGTCAGGGCCTCCAGTCCTTTTTAGCCACTGTTCTGCATTCCCCTTTGCTGGAACTTTCTGACAATAACTCCCAGTATTTCACCTCTCACATGCCTCAACTTGGAACCTGGCTTCTACTAGGATCTTTGCTGAACTCAGTGTTCTATGCCTCACCCTCATTCCTAAATACTATTGATGACATCCTCTAGTAACCCTCCTCCCCTGCTCCCAGGACCTCATAATCTTGGTTCCTTCCCTACATTTTCAACCCTGCTCTAAACATGGGCACCTCCGAGGGCTCTGTCTTCAACTATTCCACTCAAAAGTTGACATTTCTAGAGCGTTGACCCCATAAGCCAAGGTTGTGGGTTTGAAGCCCAGTCATGGCACATACAGGAATAAATGAATGCATAGATAAGTAGGATAACAGATTGATATCTCTCTCTCTCTCTCTCTCTCTCTCTCTCTCTCTTTCTCCCCCCCCCCCCCATGGGACAACAGACTGATATTTCTCTCTCTCTCTGTCTCTGTCTCTGTCTCTCTGTCTCTCTAAATTCCCCTCTCTCTTAAAAAATCTATTTAAAAAAAGAAAGTTGACGTCTCTACATCTGACCTTTCGACCTTTCATTTCAGTTTCCACCACCACCTTAAACCACCTCTCAATTTTAATATATATATATTTTATTGATTTTTGTACAGAGAGGAAGGGAGAGAGATAGAGAATTAGAAACATCGATGAGAGAGAGTCATCGATCAGCTACCTCTTGCACACCCCCTACTGGGGATATGCCCTCAACCAAAGTACATGCCCTTGACCAGAATCAAACCCGGGACCCTTCAGTACCCAAGCCGACGCTCTATCCATTGAGCCAAACTGGTTTCGGCCCACCTCTTAATTTTAGAGAATGACACACCCTGTCAAATCCAACTCACCTTTGCCTACAAAACCGCCCAATAATTTTTGCTTCTTTCCTAAAAGACTCTTAAGGTGTGGCATGCTCTTCTTTAATTGGTCTTCCTTTGATTGCCCTAGACTAGGTCCTATCTGCATGATCTAAAATATGCATCCTCTCTCTCAACCTCTGTTCCCCCACCCCTATCAGGCCCACTCCAAGCCCTCATCATTTCATACTTATAGCACGTGCAATACCCAACTATCTGGTTTCTTTGTGGCAGGCCTCTCCCCTTTCAGCACTTTCTCCAGGCGGCTGCTGAGCGATAAGCTAATGCCTTTGTAAACACTTCTCGGTGGCTTTCCAGGGCCCATGGACTAAAGCCTGACCTCCACAAGACTCAAGCTCCCAACCTCCAAACCCCACCTCCCAAGAATGCACAGCATATGCTCCAGGATTACCAAACTAATGTCAGGGCCCTGGGCCAAGAATACTGATCCAAGAAACAGCTCCACATCCCCTTCGCCTAGAATGTCCTTCCTCAATACGTGTCCGCCTGGTGAGTCCCCAGGCACCTTTCAAGTCCAAGCTCAACCCTCAACTCCTCTTCAAAAGCTTTTCCTGCTGTCTCCTTGTAGAGTCTATGAACCTTGATCATTGTTCTAGTAAATCTAACTCATGTACGTCTCCTGGGGGAAGAGGCGCAAAAGGGGGTGGGGTGGGGAGCGGGAGTCCTTGAAGGGGTAATCTTGTCATCTCTCAAATATTTATTCAGCATTTAATATAGATAACATTCCCTTGCAGGTCAGAAGCACTTTTTCATCTGTGAATACCCCTAAGCACAGAGCCTCTCTCAGCTTAAGTCTCCTGGTCCTGAACAATGCCGATGCCATGTTAATAACATCATTATAAAAAGACAAAATGGCATGGGAGTGTACTATAATGGCAGAATCTAAGACACCTCCTCCACTGCTTTCGTGAACTCCTCAAGTGTTTTGCCTCTACCGCAACTTGAGCAGAGAAGGCACTTAAAGAGCTTAAACAGTCCAAACATTAACCAGCCTCTGATGTGCAAACTGATTTTAAAATAGCCCTTGACCTGGAAATACAGGTGCATTCAAATATACTCCCTGATAAGGAAGCACAGAGGATAGAGTTCAATGTCTCAAAGGCTGCCAAGACAAGAGTTCCTTGTGATGAACGCTGAAGGTATAGCAATATTCTAGACACAGTGTGCCAGTGCTCATCCTTGTCTAAGAAGTCTTAGGAGGATACACATGGCAATGTCCACTCTCAGAACACAAAATACAGCTGGGTCCGCGTTAATGAAAACCTACATTGCGGCTTTTATAAATAAATAATAAATAAACTAAATACCCAGCAAGTTAACCTAGTCACAGAGACATCGGCTCTAATGAGTCAAATCAAACCCTAGAAATAGTGGCCATTTCAAATGTATTAGGGTGTTAAGAAACCAAATTCAGAAGTTATTTTATGCATGGCTTCCTGGACATGTTTTCTCTCATTAAAAGCGTGTTAGCACGTCTCCTAGTTAAGGAAGTCCACACAGGGGGAGCTGGTACTTCCTTGGTTCTAGCAAGAGCTGAAGCACAACAAATCCCAATCTAATTAATTCTATTTTTGGTCTAGTTTCCAAGGCAGTTTTCACAAAGACTATTCTCACGGCCCACTGTTTCCAGCTTTGTAACATCAACCTTCAGAAGCTGGCAACTGGTATAGTTTGTATAATTCCTTGACGTGTATGTTCTACGACAGACCCTCATTTGATTCTATGGACTATCAAAGGTAGGGGGGGAAAAAATCAAAGGCGATGCCATCTCACTGATTCCTGCATCATTCCTGAAATCACGGTTGAATTAATTATTCCATGATATCATGTGGTATGTTCTTACCAGGGCCCTGTAACTTGGGTCAAGTTCATCAACATCAGGTGGAACCCTCCCCAGATCAGAACTGCCAGGGAGTCTCAGTGACAGTACAACCCAGAGGAAAGGGAATCAGGAAACAGGTTCTAGTAGTTCCAAAAGGCCACCACGGCCTTGACCTTGGCGAATACACTTCCCTTCTGTAATTCAAACGGTAACACCTGCTTCCAAAAAAGAATGATTCTAGGAAAAGCTCAAGAGCTTTGAGCGTCTGAAGTAAAATGAGATTTTATTAACAGAAGGTCTTATTAAACAATTTATTCTCTGGCCTGATGACCTAAACCACCAATCTAAAGGAACATAACACTGCATTTGTTTGTTTGTCTCCCCCCCCCCCCCCACACACACACCCATATTCCTGCACCACTGTATTTATGAGTAAACTAAACTTTGACTCTTTTTCTACTGTTAAAAAAATCGTGGTATTGTATCTACTTATTCTTAAATGTGAAGCAAAGGTAATCCATAGAAATGGGAGCTACAAATCCTCAAGAAGTAGCCCGTCAGGTCCAATGAAATCTACTAGTAGGAGAACTACACTGCCTGCTGTGGACCCAAAGAACACACAGCACTTGTATGTTCCGTGTATGTTACCCTGAAACCTTCCAAATCTATCACCCTGAGAAAAGACGGAGGAACCGAAAGTGCTGATGGGGGCGCAGGAGAAGCCAAGCCTTCAGCGTCCGGATCCAATGACAGGCTAGAGCCCAAGGTGTTTGTCTGAAGTTTAGTCCTCACCAACTTTGTTCCTCTCTCGAGAGAAGGTGTGAGGTGGTGGCGGCGCCTAGCAAACTAGGGCGCCTGCAGGTTCCTCCCAGACTCCATCCTGGGCCCCGGCCCCCAGGGGGGCGGGCGGGGACTGGAATGGGAAGACACTAAACTGTAGTCGAGTTGAATGACCCAGCAGCGGCCACGGTCATCCTGGGAGACGCACCCCCTCTGGGGTCCGGGGTTCTGGCAAGCAGACACCGATCCAGGCCGCGGGGAGGGCGCGGCGGGCAGCCCGCAGCTCACCTGCGCTCCCGGGGCCCCACCCGCCCGGCTCCCAGGGGCCCTCCCGAGCCGGGACGCGGGCGAGCGGCGGGCGTGGGGGCGCGGCTCCCGCGGCTCCACTTACTTTGTCGCTGGTGCTCTCGGCTTCGTGGTCGCCGCCGGCCGCCACTCCTTCGGGGGGCGGCGGCGCCCCCGCTCCCCCGGGGCCGGGGCCCACTCCCCGGTGCCGCAGCTCCAACATCGCCCGCTCCCGCGGGCCGCGGCGGCCTCCTGCGCCACAAAACCCGGACTGCGCGCAGGGTCCGGCCGGCCGGCCTCCCTCCCTTCACGCCCCCGCCGTGGAGGCGCGTCCCCGCGCCAGGTCACCCCCAAAACGGCATCAACGAGCGAGCGCTCGAGGCCGCCTGCAGGCGCGGGGCGTGCGGGGCGGGCAGGCTCGGGGCGCCCGGCCCGCGCGGGGAAGGCGGGGCGCGGCCGCGGGCCGCCAGGTGCGCGTCTCCCCGCAGAGGCCCAGGTGGGCAGGAGGGAAGAAGGGGCGGGAGGGAGAAGGAAGGAAGCGTGACCCCGATTGAGAGCTCCGCGGGGCGCCCGCAGCCTGGGCCCGGCCACTCCCCGTCCCGCCCCGCCCCCGGACTCGGCCGGTCCCAGCCCCCAGACACCTTTCCCGGGGTTCCCGTTCCCTCCCGCACCGGGTCACGCGCCGCAGGCCCCGCCCCCAGCCCCGCCCCCTGCGCTGCACTGCGGTTCCCACGGCCCCGCCCACCCGCCGGGTGACGTCATAGCCTCCCCAGACTCCGCCCGGCCCCTGCGCGCACACAGGTGGGGGCGGTGAGACGAGGTGCAAGCTGGGCGGGCCGGAGGAGAGGGGGAGAGGGATGGAGGAGGGAGGAGCCCTGTGCTGGGGAGTGAGGGGCGAGCACTGGTCCACTGTCACCACCGACCTCCTGGGGAGCGTGGCAGACGCCTGGCAGCTGCTATTGGCAGCGCTCAGAAGTAGCCCTTCCAAGGACTCCCCCACCTGCCGCATCGGCTCGTCAGAGGTCCAGAGGCGTCGAGAAATAGGAACTAGTCTGGCAGGATGGACTCGTTGACGTGGAGGCATTCTAGGCTAGGGTCATCACCTGGAAAATAAAGAGGTGTGTTTGCCTCCCTGGGTGTCTCCGGATGGTTGGCAGGTTTCAAGCATAAAGCCCAAGCTCTGTCTCTGATAAACTTGAGTACTGAAATTCTCACAAAATTCACTGCCTAGAGTCCTCAAAAGAGAATCCATCCCCTATGATACAACCAATTGCCAACCAGCTAATCTCTGAACAGTCATGGACCTTGGGCTGCTAAAGCTAGGGCAGGAGGCCCCAGGGATCCATCCGCCTTAATTCTATTCCAAATCCTGTTAGAAGGTGATTAGTTTTCTTGATGCGTGCCCACCACCTGGTCATTAGAGAGAAGCTGGCGAATGGTGAGAAGAAGAAAGAAGAGAAGTAAATCAATAATATAAATGTCTCCAAGTCATTACTGACACATTGAAAATAGGTACTTCTTTTTGAAAATTTATAACAAGCAAAAACAAAAAGTCAAAATGGATACATTAAAAAGCAAAGCACATGGGCGTCATTTTATTTCCCCAAACAAATCTTAAAGCTCTAGGTTCAGATTGAGTTGCCACATTTTCAAAAGGATATAGAGAAAGGAGTCAGTCTAATGGGAAGAGTAACAAAAATGCTAATGAAAATAGGTCCTTTAAGAGATGGACTTGGCATGGGTTTTCCTTAAGGAGCAGAAGACTGTGGGATTAGTAGGTTAATCAGTTGTTCTTCATTTTTTTCTGAGGGACCAGAAATTAATGACTGCCTCATTGTCAAGAACATAAGCTTGAAGAGGCTACTGAAGGAGGTAGTGGAATTTCCATCTTTGGCTCCCTCACCCCAGCCAGCAAAAAGGGCGGGTATTAGAAGTGTTCCGCTGCTCCATTCTAAGCTTCGTGGAAGTTAAGCCTGAATCCTAGTCCCACCAATGCCACTGGTTGGCTGTATGGCCTTAGATAAGTCATGAAGCCTCAATGTCCCCAGCTATGAAGTGGAAAGTGCTGAGGATGGCCTCTCTGGACCGTTTATAGCTCACGCATGACTGCAGCAAAAGCTTCACTTTATCAGAAACCAGCCCTTCCTTCCCCCAATGCCTCAAGAAAAGGAGACCTAGCATAGCAAGGTGCCAGAATGATTTCCTTGTCTCCTTCCCCAACCCAACCCAATAGCTCATCTGACTTGTTTTTTGTTTACTATCATGGAATAAAAGATAGTGGAAGAAGTAGCAGAAGGAAACGATGGAGGACATGAGTGCATGACAGAAAAAACAGTCTGACTAGTCCCTAACTCTGGAAAAAAGTGGGACCAGAGCAGAGACTGCCAATTTAGAGTGCTTTACTACTTAATCTCACCTTACTTTAGGCTCTGCCTACTTCCTGTATTTCAGCTGAGATAATAATTTCTTTCTGTCTTCTCCATTATAGTCATTGTCATTCATCAAATGATTATGCTGAGTCTAGACAGCAGGTACCACAGTTTATTCATCTTCACAGGCCAAGCCCTTGCCGTGGTGCCAGCCCCAACCTCGTATAGTCAACTCATGAAGAAGTGAATGGGGAGAAAAGGATAAACGGCAGAGGTATAGCATACCCAGGGAAAGATATGGTTGTGATTTTAAAATTAAAAGGTCTGTATTAGACTTAGGTACTCATTGTCTTCGTTTTTTACTTTAAGTGAAAGGTTGATTTTAATATGTATTGAAAGAAAGTTCTAGTAACGACTTTCACATTTTCTTTAAGATGCATTATGAGGAGTATAGAAAGGGAGTGGACTGACGACTCTCGGGGAAAAGGGGAGTGGGGGGTGAGGGAAGAGACTGAACAAAAATCGTACACCTATGGATGAAGACAGTGGGAGGGAGTAAGGGCAGAGGGTGGGGTAGGAACCTGGTGGAGGGGAGCTATGGAGGGGAAAAAGAGGAACAATTGTAATAATCTGAACAATAAAGATTTATTTAAAATAATAAAAAATAAAATTAAAAATTAAAAAAAGATGCATTATGGTATAGTCAACAACACCAGCCTTACTGGGCTCTGTGTTCTCAGACTTTCTCAATGTCTTTTTCATTTTCATCTTTCTTTTTCTTTTTTCAGGAAACTTATATTTTTGAAGTTTATTACATTTATCTTTAGTGATACCAGATCTGTCATGTAATGGTTTCTAAGACCTCACCTGTTAGTTTTACCAGCATGCAATCTGCTAACTCCAGGTTCATGCAAGGGACTAGTCACTTAGGAGACGCCTGGCCAATACTTATTGGCTGACTTATAGATTTTCTATTTTAGTGATAGTACAATAATTTATAAATCCTTGCAAGAGATTTTTCTAGAGGGGAAAGAAGGAGAGTGTTAACATTATTATTTTTGTGTTTTTTCTTTTAGTTTGATTTTTTTTAACCTTGTCTTTTGCCCAAAGATGGGAAGATCTTGTTTGAAGTATGAAATGGAGAGACCCGTTATCATTCTCTTCTCTGAATATCCTCACAATGTTCCCAAACTGATAAACATCCCCGTCTCGTGTGGGAATTTGAGCTACTTTCCACATCTGAGTCTCAAAGGCGCCTGACAGGACTGCCTCAAGCTTGCCAGGGTAAAACGACATCTTCCTCCGCCAAGCGTTTCCGGTTGCGTAGACACCCACGTTGTAGATGTTTGTCGCTTGACCTATCTTTAGTTGTTGCTCTCAATTTCGATCTTTAGGTCGGAGGTAGGAATTTCTGACTTAGGCCTACCAGAAATACATGTTGCGGGAAAATTTTGAAGAGCAGTTTATGTTCACATTATCTTTAATGAATCTGCAAGAAAACAGTAGTGTAGCATGAAGTATTATAGTACCAAATCTCAGAGGGGTGGTGCGGTAGTGTAGTTAGAAGCACAGGTTTCAGTCCAAGCTCTGCCATCTTCTAGCTGTGACCCAATTTCCTTACAGAACATTTCATCACACACAGCTGAAGCTACATCCTAACGTATGCCTGTTCAAAGTTTATGTGATAACGCTTTACATAACACTTTGCAAAGCACTTTCACATCCATTGCTTTATTTTATTCTCAGCAACCTACGAGGTAGGCAGGAAGACTATCATTTTTTCCATATTGCAAAGAAAAAAATCTAAGCTTCAGTATGTAAACTGCCCAGGTTTGCAGAGGAAATTTTTCTATTTCAGATTCTGACAGGCCTACTATGCACTGCCTGTAGTTAGTAGCAAAAACAAGTAACTTCCAATAGGGTACAACTTGTGATAACAGCTAAGCACTGGAATTCTGGAGCCAACCTGAGTGCAAGTCCCAGCTCTGCCACCTACTGGCCGGCGCCATCAGTCAAGTAAATGAACTGTTCTGTGCCTTAATATCCTGTGTATAAAATGAGAAATTCTTACGCAGAGTAAGGTTAATATACAAAAATGCTAAGAACAATGCCTGATCGTAGTGACACACCATGCTAGTGTTACAATTAATACCATTTACATTATTGAAAACTGCATTTCTTAAGAGAACAATATTCAGCTTCTACACTCACTGAAGCTGCAATACCCCACAAGACTTTGAAGAAAAAAGGATATACTGACATTGCTTTGAAATTACAAAATGGGGTAGGGCAACTTTGCAAATAAGTACAAAGAAATCATCATCCAATAAAATTGATTAATTGTTGCTAACAATAGTAAGATGAATGAAACTGACATACCCTATTATTAACTGGCATCCATTTCTTTCTTTAAATTTCTTTTTTACTAGAGCTAATTTCTACCATGTATCTTATATATGGTATGATAACTACAGACTTCCTTTCATTTCTAGCTTCTCCACTGAATCATAGTAACTATTAGCATAATATATTTTGATGATTTAATTCCTTTGTAAAATAAGCAGGTTATTCCTTCAATAACTTTATAAATTAAGTTTTAAAGTAATGAGTACATGTGTGCTTTTGGCACTGAATGGTTCAACTGTATTGTTAATGTTGGATATGGCTGGATTTATATTTTTTTGGAGGTGGTTATTTTAGAGAAGTGGAAAGGATTAACTGTCCTCAGAAGGGCTGAACTGCTATTTACCTTAAATTATATCAATTATCTCTGTTTAACATATTGCTGGAATCCAGAGGTATCAGTCAAGGTTCTTAGATGCAAGTCTGGCTGACTTAGGCAGATAAGGTATTT